GATTTGTTCTAATGGTGTTTGTAAATAGGATCTCAAGTCTGCATCTTGTACAGCATTTGACCACTAAGAAGAATATATGCAGTGTGTTATTTGTTGAAACTGTCCTAGTGATTTGATTTGAAACTGTCTAATTGCTATTTGTCAATAAAATTTTGAAAAAAAATAGGGAACCTAAGGGGAAAGAATTCCTAAGTGCTAAGAAAAGACACCACAAAAATATTTAAAACAATAGAATTTAGGCAGCTGAGATATTTCTCAGATGGGAGAGTAAGATAACCAGTTAGCATAATGATTGTTTTTTGGGTTTTTTTGTGGGTTTTGGGTTTTTTTTTTTTTGTTTTGTTATTTTAGGGAAGAGTCTACAGGGTGTTCAGGGTCTCACTACTAGATCAGACTTGTAGTGATTCTCCTGTTTACAGCCTCCCAAGTGCTGGGATTGCAGGTGCATGCCACCATGCCCAATCTCAATTGCCATCTCAGCACGCCCCAGGGGTGGGGCCCACAGGGCAGGCCTGTGTAGCAAACCCCCAGTCCCTGTGCCTGCTTGCAGCTGCTTTAATCTGCTGAGCTCTTTGGCCAGCCCAGCATAATGATTATTGATTTTTTTTTTCTCATATGTGTAATCAATTATTTAGTATGCTATGGAATTAACACTACAGGGAATGTGATATAATGTAAGGTAGACTATTAGTACACCTTTTTTTTAAATCAAGATCTTACTTAGATTTAGTCACTACAACTACTAGCTATGACAGCAACACTATTTCAAAGGAAGCTTCTTTTTCAGTGAGGGCACTGGCCAGAGGTCTCCATTTCAGTTCACCAGTATAAAGAACCAGTGTGTGTATGTGTGTGTGTGTGTGTGTGTGTGTGTGTGCATGCCCTGTGTGAGAAGTATGTACTGTACAGCTCAACTCTGTGGGCAGTGAAAAGACCCACTGTTCCATTGCTGAAGTGACCATCTGTTGGAATCATGGACTTCTCACAGTTGTGTAAAGCTATAAAATTACTTCTTCCTATTTCTGCTGACTCTTCTAATTTAACTTTTATGATGTCAGGAAATAGAACCATTATATAGTTTGGCACAGTGACATGCATTCCCAGTCCCAGTCACTTGGGAGGCTAAGGCACAAGAATCTCTTCAGCTTCTCAGTTCAAAGCTAGCCTGGGAAGCATACCAAGACCCTATCTCAAAAAAAAAAAAAAAAAAAAAAAAAAGACATATACTGAGACCTGAGACACTGTCTTTATGAAAGACCAAATTATTTAATGTTCTTTGTATTCTATGAATAAATGGCTGGCATGAAACCGATTATGTTACTTTGTGGTTGTTTTATTTTGTTTTGTTTTGTTTTCCTCCGAATGCCCTCAGGGGTGGTTTGGCTGGCTGGAGTGTTGTGGGGATTGAACTACAGCAACCTGAGGCTGACAGCTTTGTGGAAGCAGCCACTTAAACAACTGAGCTAAGGCCAGGCCCCTGTTTTGTTTTGTGTGGTGGAACTGGGGATTGAACTCAGGCCCTTGTGCTTGCTAGGCAAGCGCTTATTCTACTGAGCCATCTCCCTAGCCCTGATTTTGTTATTTTGTGAAGCTCACAAATTGAAATATAAAGACATCTGTGGTGATAAGTTGTTGATTTATTTTTTATTTTTTATTTTATTGGAAGAGAACTCTATCTTTACCTTTATTAGTACTTCGAGTACATTTCCAAAAACTTAAAAGTTAGATTTGACTAGTCTGTCACATTAAAAATAAATTAAAAAGTAAATTGGGACAGTTTTTAGCATGGGATTTTTGTTAGAACATGCAGTACCAAGGGCCAGGGAGATAGCTCAGTAGAATAAGCACTTGCCTGGCAAACACAAGATCCGGAGTTCAATCCCCGGTACTGCAAAAACAAACAAGCAAGCAAATCAAAAAAGACAAAAAAAAAAAAAAAAAAGCAGTACCAATTAGGAATGTCCTTTCAAAACAAAACAAAAAACGCCCTAAAATTCTTGATTATTGAAGGATTTTTTTTTCTTTTTTTTTCTCCGAATGCCATCAGGGCAGGTTTGGCTGGCTTGAGTTGTGGGGATCGAACCACAGCAACCTGAGCCTGACTGCTTTGTTGAAGCAGCCACTTAAAGAACTGAGCAAAGGGGCAGGCCCCCAAATTCTTGATTATTAAATAAATTCTTCGGCATCTAAAATCTAAAGTAATCCATAACCTGTGATTGCCAAACTGTGAGGAGGTTTTTTCCATATATGCCACAAAAACATTTCTAAAAAAACAAGTATAACTGTTTCCTATTAATCTTTTTTTTAAAGTCCAGAGCTTCTAGTTAATTTAGAAATTTTCTAATAAAAATTATGCTCTGAATGTAAACTAAAAACCAGATGATAAACTTGTGTAGGGACTATATGAAAGATAAATTTTAGTCAGGTGTGGTGGTACCCTCCTGTAATCCCAGCACTCAGGAGGCTGAGGCCGGAGGATCACAATGAGTTGAAAGTCAGCCTGAGCTACATAATGAGTTCAAAGCCAGCATGAAGTACATAGTGAGACTGTCTCAAAAAGAAAAATAGGGGCTGGGGAGATGGCTCAGTGGAATAAGCGCTTCCCTGGCAGGCGCAAGGGCCTGAGTTCAATCCCGGTTCCCCCCAAAAAAGAGAAAAAAAAATTGATTTAGGGCCAGGGAAATAGCTCAGTAGAATAAGTGCTTGCCTGGCAAGCACAAGGGCCTGAGTTCAATCCCTAGTTCTGGGGGCAGAAAAAAAAATCTCTTGGGCTGGGGAGATGGCTCAGTGGAGTAAGTGCTTTCCTGGCAAGCGCAAGGGCCTGAGTTCAATCCCCGATTCCACCAAAAAAAAAAAAAAAAAAGAAAGATAAATTTTAGTAGAGCATGGCGCTATACTGGCCAGATCACACGCTCAGGCCCAGCCTTACCACTTAGTAAAATTAGCAAGGTACTTACGGTCTCAGACTGAGGATATAGCTCAATGCAAAGGCTCTTAAGCTCAACCCCCTATATGTAAAAGAAAATAAAAATGAAATAAAGTAAATTGTAGTGAAAAGTTAGCCTCTGACATTGTTTGTATGTTTTTATAATCTAATTGAAATCACTGAATTACGGCATTAATGAGCTAGATTGGTATACAAAAATATCAAAAATATGGGTAATGAATTCAAAATTATACTATAGAATTACATAACAGTGTTATTCCCTGACATTTTAAATTGAGTTTCTGATATTTCATGTCCTGACTATCCATTGCTGTTTTATGATACCTTATAGAAGTTACCACTTAGTTTGTAATACGTACAATACCATGTGATACCCTAAGGTAAAGATTCTCTTCAAAAGAAAATTTAATCATTTAGAGCTAACCATTTCTGTCAAAGCTTTCTCCATCATTACAGTTTCAGATGATAGTGAACTCCCCACAAGTACCCTGAAGGCCTCAGAGAAATCTACAATGGAACAGTTGGTGGAAAAAGCTTGTTTCAGAGACTATCAGCGGTTGGGTTTGGGAACTATAAGTGGTACCTCATCGCGTTCAAAGCCAGAGTATTTCCGAATCACTGCCTCCAACAGGATGTATTCTCTGTGTCGGAGGTAAGTGTTAGTGTGCTCACAAAGGGACCTTTTCTTCTATTTGAGGTTGGGTTTTTTTTGTTTTGTTTTGGGTTTTTTTGTATTTAGTACAGGGTCTCCAGGATCTCACTATGTAGATTTGGACTCGTAGTGATCCTACTGTTTTCAGCCTCCCATGTGCTGGGATTACAAGTGTGTACCACCACGTCCATTCTCAGTTGCTGACTCAGTGTGCCCTGGGAGTCATAGAACACAAAGAGCAACTAGATTATAAGTAATAAAATGGTAGATTTAAATTCATATGTATTGGGGCTGGTGAGATGGCTCCGTGGTCTAAAGCACCTACTTAGAACAAGCTAAGCCAAGCAAAACATAGGGACCGCGGTTCAATCCCCCAGCACCACATGCCAGCCAGCCCC